AGCACGGTACGCCGGCCACAGCGCACCAGCCGTGGAGGCCATTGGAGGGTGAACCAACGGCAAAAGGAAGACCTTTCTCTCTGTCTCTCTCTCTCACTATCCACTCTGCCTGTTAAAAAAAAAAAAAAGATTTATTTATTGGGGCCAGCACTGTGGCATAGAAGGTTAAGCTTCCACCTGCAGTGCCAGCATCCTGTATGGGTGCTGATTCAAGTCCTGGCAGCTCCACTTCTGACCCATCTCCCTGCAATACATCGGGAAAGCAGCAGCAGATGCCCTAAGTATTTGGGCCCCTGCACCCACATGGGAGACCTGGAAGGAGCTTTTTTTTTTTTTTTTAAAGGTTTATTTATTTGTTTGAAAGTCAGAGTTACACAGAGAGAGAGGTCTTCCATCCGCTGGTTCACTCCCCAAATGGCCACAACGGCCGGAGCTGTGCTGATCCGAAGCTGGGAGCCAGGAGCTTCTTCCGGGTCTCCCACGCGATTATTCCAAATAAGCCACGGCTCTGGCCCCTGACTCAAGTCTTAGTGACTTTTCTTCAGTGATAATTTGAGAAATGCTGTGAGGTAACAGGATACCAAATTCATTTGGTTAATCCTCTGCCTGCGGTGCTGGCATCCCATATGGGCGCCGGGTTCTAGTCGGGTTGCTCCTCTTCCAGTCCAGCTCTCTACTGTGGCCCGGGAAGGCAGTGGAGGATTAACCAAATGAGCTAAGGTGTATTAGAAGGGAACTGGATTGGATGTGGAACAGCCAGGACTCAGTCAGCACTCATATGGTATGCTAGCACTGCAAGTGACAGCTTTACCCACAATCCCACAGTGCCGGCCCTCTTGTGGGACTTGGAAATGGCACACCCTTTTTGGAGATTGAAGTATTAATATCTGTTGACATTTAAATCTTGTACCCTGTGATTTGGAAATTTCATTTCTGAGAATTTCTCCTATAGAAATACTCCTACAAAAACAAAAACTGAGAACAGTGTGAATAAGTTCTTAACAGGAGGGTGATTAAGTAAATTATGGCCACATTGTTGATAGAAGGGAATATAATTTCAGGTTATATAATGTATTTCCTTTTTGTTTCAGTTTTATATTTTATTGTGCAACTGGGGCAAAAGACTAGACTTTCTGTAACTACAATAGACAAAGATTAGAAAGGCTTCCTGGGGTGGGCACCATGGCTCACTTGGTTAATCCTCTGCCTGCAGCACCGGCCTCCCATGTGGGTGCCAGATCCTGGTCCCGGCTGCCCCTCTTCCAGTCCAGCTCTCTGCTGTGGCCCAGGAAGGCAGTGGAGGATGGCCCAAGTGCTTTGGCCCTGCACCTGCATGGGAGACCAGGAAGAAGCACCTGGCTCCTGGTTACGGATCAGCACAGCGCACCAGCTGTAGTGGCCATTTGGGAGGGTGAACCAATGGAAGGAAAAACCTTTGTGTCTCTAACTCTGCCTAATTAAAAAAGAAAAGGCTTCCTTACAGGCTGAACAATAATAGGCATGGGATATTTTTGATGATTATATGATGACAGTTATACTTTCTAGCTGTTTTAGCACTCTGAAGAAAGTGCCCCATCAAAACATTAAATTGGTTGGACATTTGGCCTAGAGGTTAAGATACCCACATCCCGTATCGGAGGGTCTGGGTTTGATTCCTGGCTTTGGCTCCTGATTCCAACTTCCTACCAGTGCAGGCCTTAGGAGGCAGATATAATAAATATCTCTAGTAGTTGGGTCTCTGCTGACCCCCATGGCAGATGTGGATCAAGTTCCTGGCTTTGGCTTGGCCCAGTCTTATCTCTTGCAGACATTTTGGGCAGTGAACCAGTAGATGGGAACAATCTCTGTGTCTCTCTTCCTCTCATTAAAAAAAAAAAAAAAGATTATACAAAGTGTTTACCATTTTTAAATCATTACCCATTAACAAAATTTTTAAATAAATTATTCGTCAAACTATGTTTAGCAATATAGAAAAAGCAACATCAATAAATGCTACAATAGAGCAACTTACTAGTATATTGTAGGACTGTAATTACTATAAAGTCATAGAGTTTGAACTTAGTATAATCCTAATGTTTTACTTTTTGCAGGCCAAGCACCTATTAGTTACATTTTCTCAGTTGATTATTTTCCAAACAGCATTTAGATAATCAGATCTAACATTTTTTTATATATGTTTGTTTTTAAGATTTATTTATTTATTTGAAAGGCAGAGTTACAGAGAGGCAGAGGCAGAGAGAGGTCTTCCATCCACTGGTTCACTCTCCAGTTGGCCGCAATGGCTGGTCTGAAGCCAGAAGCCAGGAGCTTCCTCTGGGTCTCCCACGTAGGTACAGGGGCCCAAGGAGTTGGGCCATGTTCTACTGCCTTCCCAGGCCATAGCAGAGATAGGAAGTGGAGCAGCCAGGTCTTGAACCGGCGCCCACTTGATACCGGTGCTTCAGGCCAGGACGTTAACCCGTTGCGCCACAGCACCAGCCCCAAGATCTAACATTTTTATACTGAAGGTAATAAGTGTGCTCCCACACATGAATCCCTAGCAGTGAAATAAGGTCTCTTGTTCCTTACAGTGGATCCTGATTAGGATAAGCAGCAATCTGTAAGCATCCTCTGTTCCTTTTTGAAACCAAGCCATGGGGCTGGCATTGTGGTGATGCCACCTGCAACATTGACACCCCATAATGGTGCTGGTTTGGGTCCTAGCTGCTCTACTTCTGATCCAGCTTTCTGCTAACGGCCTGGGAAAAGCAACGAAAGATGTCCTAAGTGCTTGAGCCCCTGCTACCCATGTGGGAGACCCAGATAAAGCTCCTGGCTCCTGGCCTCTGGCTTAAGCTTGGCCCAGCCCTGCCCATTGTGGCCATCTGGGGAGTAAACCAGCAGATGGAAGATCTCTTTAAGTCTCTCCCTCTCTGTGTAACTCTTTTCAAATAAAGAAATCTTTAAAAATTAAAAAAAAAAAGAAACCAAGCCAACCGCAACCTGAGTCTTGTATGCCAACAAATAAAATTTAGCATTGCTGCTGCTTTTCAGGGTCTGCGTTAGCAGGAAGCTGGAATCAGGAACTGGAGCTGGGAATCGAACCCAGGCACTCTGATATGGAATGTGGTGGCTTTTTTTTTTCCCCCTTTTTAAGATTTATATCTTGAAAAGGCAGAGTAATGGAGGGAGAGAGATATCTTCCATCTGTTGGTTCACTCCCCAAATGGCTGCACAGCCAGGGCTAGGCCAGGCCAAAGCCAGGAGTTGGTATCTCCATTCACCTGAGTAACATGGGCTCAAGTACTTGGGCCATCATCCACAGCTTCCCAGGCACCACATAAGAAAGGAGCTGGATGGGAAGTGGAACAGCAAGACTCCCAGCTTGCCCTCCACTGTTGGATGCCAACATTGTAAACAGGCTTAACCTGCTGTGCCACAGTGAGCCCTGCAAGTGAACCTTCATTTGAATCTCTAGAGGGACAGGCGTTTGTTCTGAGTGTTAAATTGGGCTTTTGATAAAAGGACAGACAGGATAAGCATTGTGGTGCAGTGAGTTCAGCTGCTGTTTGTGACCCCTGCACTCATGTCCGCGTGCCAGTTGGAGTCCTGGCTACTCTCCTTTTGATCCAGCTTCCTACTAATGCATCCTGCCACCAACCCATGTGGGAGACCTAGATGGAGTTCAGGCTTCTGGGCTCCAGCTGGCTCAGCCCTGGCTGTTGTGGGTATTTGGGGAGTGAAGTCTCAAATGAAAGTAATTTCTGTTTGTCTCTCTGCCTTTCAAGTAGATGAAAAAAATTTTAAAGAGGTCTTTACTTTTAGATATGTAGTTAAATCCCCCCTCCAGGGTGTGTATTACTTTATGAAACTTAACAGTGTATTTTCTGAGTAGGTTCTTAAGTGTGGCATTGAAATTTTAATTTAGTCCTATTTTTCACCTAAGTCGTTGTTGAGATATAATCTTATCTTATTTTGATTATTTTTATGTTCCCTTATTATTTTTTAATTTTACAGAACTACACCCATCTACCAAAAGCAGATATTTTTGCCCTTGCCCTCACAGTGGTATGTGCTGCTGGTGCTGAACCTCTTCCAAGGAATGGAGACCAATGGCATGAAATCAGACAGGGAAGATTGCCTCGGATACCCCAAGTGCTTTCACAAGAATTTACGGAGTTGCTGAAAGTGAGCATTGTATAAATGAAGCACTTTATAAAAACAGTTCAGTATTTTATTGAACTGCATGTTTTTAGCTGAATTTTACTGTTCTTTTTAAGGTTATGATTCATCCAGATCCAGAGAGAAGACCTTCAGCAATGGCACTGGTAAAGCATTCTGTACTGCTGTCTGCTTCTAGAAAGAGTGCAGAACAGTTGCGAATAGAATTGAATGCTGAAAAGTTCAAAAATTCACTGTTGCAGAAGTAAGTGAGGCGTTTTTGGTTTATTCTTTGACTTCCTATTCTCATTACTTCTCAGGTTTTAGTAAAGATGAGTTGGGCTGTCAGTAAGGATGTGGTCGTTTGTACACTGTTAGTGATGGTTTAGAGACTATGCCTTAAATTAATATTGACCTATTAAAATTGTTTTGTTTCTAAACTTTGAAATTTTGAGTTTTAAAAATGTTAAGACTAGCATGTTTGCAAATGATAAAAGTCCCCAGGCCCTAAATTATAGGAAAAACTAAGTGAAACTGTTAGTTTTTTTCCAAACTCAAACCCAAAATTGCTTTCCTTGCAGCATTCTCTTCTGCCTATATTATGAAATGGTGAAATTAATATCATTTAGGTTAGTAAATGTTTCCTATATTTGGCCTGAATAACTTGACATTTTCAGAAGGCTGATTGTAATGACAAAGTTCATGAAAAGGAGAAAACTATTGGACAGTATCAGTAACCACAGATCACACTTTAAATTTTTTTAATTCATTGATACCATTTTGATTCTAACCTATTAAGATTAGATTATAGAAATTTTATACCAAATATTAAAGCTTGTCACTAGTTTGGTATCTGTCATAGGTCATACAGGTAGGAAGTAAAGTTTTCTTTGAGTCTATTTCTGTAAAAATAGATTTTAAGTATGAATTGGAGTTCTATTTCAAATTATGGTTTAGGCCAAAAGTCGTTATTATCATCTTTATTAATTATGTCCTTTTGTTCAAATGTATGTTTTTGTTTTTGTTTTTAAGATTTGTTTATTTGTTAGAGAGGGAAAGAGAGAGAGAGAGATCGATCTTGCATCTGCAGGTTCCCTCCTCAGATGGCCACAACAGCTGGGGCTGGGCCAGGTGGAAGCCAGGAGCCTGAAGCTTCTTCCTGGTCTCCCACGTGGATGCAGGGGCCCAAGCTCTTGGGCCATCCTCCACTGCTTTCCCAGACTGTCAGCAGGGAGCTGGATTGGAAGTGGAGCAGCTGGGATTCAAACCGGTGCTCATGGGATGCTGCATCACAGGCAGCAGCTTTACCTGCTATGTCACTATGCTGGCCCCTATATGTGATAATTTAATTCAGGCACAAAATAATTTCAAAAATTTATATTGTTTGAGTAGAAGCTGAAGTTTCATGTTGTATTTTTTCTTTCCTCAGTTGCATCTTAGGATAATGAATGGCATATGACCGTCTCCCAGTTGTTAAAAAAGTTTGTGTTTGGCTTCTTAGAATCTCTCCTAGGATTAATACAGTAGGTGAAGTCTTGTGTCCTATTTTTATGTTCTTAGAGAACTGAAGAAAGCCCAGATGGCAAAAGCTGCAGCTGAGGAAAGAGCACTCTTCACTGACCGGATGGCCACTAGGTCCACCACCCAGAGTAATAGAACATCTCGGCTTATTGGAAAGAAAATGAACCGCTCTGTCAGCCTCACCATATACTGAACTACTCATTTCCCACCTCCCCCAAAAACTGTGACAAGAGGAAGCTAGGTTGAAATCACTGCTAGAACCCACTTTACAATTACTCTCTCGATTGGTGTCAGTAGTTGTTTTACTGAAATACCTTTTGGGACTTTGATTTGTGAATTACAGCTGAATGCTGTATTTAGACCATGGCTTTATCAGGCTTTCGATTAGTGTTACCCACCAGTGTGTCTTGTGTAGGCTGGCAGTCACTGTTGGGTGTTACACCATCCTCCCGGGGTTAACCACTGTGGTGGTGCGCTGCTAACAGCTTGCTGTTGCATTGTAATAAAAGGTGTCTTTCCGTGTAGTGACTGTAAAAATGGACTCAAGGGCTTTGTTACACACATTCCTCCTTTGAAAGGGAGAATGCTAAGAGACTCTGTACTGCTCAGCCTTCAGTGTACCTGTGTGTCACTCTTCTATTCCTTTTTTTATTCTTATATTTCTTTTTAAAATTGTGAATTATACTTGTATATCCAACTGGGAGCACTTTGTAGGCATTGCATGAACCATGGAATAATTCTGTGGAAGTATTGCCTTGTGAATTTGCTGCTATTTTAGTTTTTCTTTGCTGTAAAATTGTAGCATTAAACAATCATCGTTGTTAATAGGCTTTCTTTGAAACAATTATGTGAAATACGTAGTTGCTCTTGATGAAAAGCAGCTATTTGCGTTTTTTTTTTTGTTTTTTTTTTTTTTTTCCTTTGAACTTTGAAGCTAGTGCATTGAAAAAATGCACCTTTCTCCTCCCCTTCTCCCCCCGGAATTCTGTATTGATGTAGTGTAATCATTACTATTTTGTAATTTTTTTCTGGTAATTTCCTTCCCTGACTTTTTTTAAAAATGTCTCCTTCCTCCTCTTCCCAAGTTTTGTACTTGAGTGTATTATTAGTCTGTTTTTAAATGTTTTGCCCTTCAATATTTGTGTATATAAAGTGATCTTGATGATACTGTATATAGCTGTTTGATATGCCAGACGACTTCTGACTGTTCCAAGTTTTTCACAAAATATATTTTATCTGTAATTAGCCATTTGACTAATAATACTGGCTAACAGATGTTGGGGAAAAACTTTGTCTCTTTGCTTCTTTTCTCATTAATTTTGGTTTAAAACATGTTTGCACTTGTCTGTCTGACTTGTGTTTTATAAGCAATGATTGGCATATTAAAAGTCACTCTGTGCTTAAGTGTCTAAATTTTTGTGGTGCCTGTTTTCTACTGTTTTACCTCCATTATTGCCACATTATAATGTAGAGTATGATGTACATCAAATACTAAAAGCAAAGGGCACAACTTTTTTTTTTTAAGATTTATTTTATTTATTTGAAAGAGTTACAGAGAGAGGTAGAGACAGAGAGAGAGGTCTTCCATCTGCTCTTTCATTCCCCAAATGGCCACAACAGCTGGAGCTGAGCTGATCAGGAGCCAGGAGCTTCTTCCAGGTCTCCCACGTGGGTGCAGGAGCCTCTGCTGCTTTCCCAGGTGCATTAGCAGGGAACTGGATTGGAAGTGGAGCAGCTGGGACTGGAACTAGTGCCCATATAGGATGCCGGGGCTGCAGGCCAGGGCTCTAATCTGCTGTGCCACAGCATGGGCCCCTAGAGGGCACATTTTGATGGAATGTAAAACTTACTGGCTTTTTATTGGTGGACCTTAACCTATATTTGTTAAATTTTTGTTTCAAGAAAAATTTACCCCTCACTTTTGAATTTTCTTTTCATTACAAACACCTAATATTTTTATATCACATTGCATATTACATATTGACTTGTCAGGAATGTGATAGAATGTAATTCAGAGTAACCTCACATTAGGTGAATATAATAGCTACAACTCAACTTTCTAAATTGGCCTGTCACACACAGAACTTTTTTTTTTTTTTTTTAAATTTATTTATTCGAAAGAGTTACTGAGAAGGAGAGGCAGAGAGACATCTTGCATCCATTGGTTCACTCCCCAAATGGCAGCAACAGCCTAAGCCAGAGCCAGGAGCATCTGCGTCTCTTACATTGGTGCAGGGGCCCAAGGACTTGGGCCATCTGCTGCTGCTTTCCCAGGTGCATCAGGGAGCTCGATCGGAAGAGGGGCAGCCAGGACTCAAACTGGCACCCATATGGGATGCCGACACTACAGGCTGAGGCTTAACCTATGCCATAGCACTGCCCCCATCACAGAACTTTAAGGTGGGGAGGATTTGAATTCACTAAAATAGGCTGGGTTTTAGGAATTGAGAGTGCAAATTGCAGTGAAAAACAAGTGCTGACAGTTAAAACCATAGATTGATCACTAAGGGCAATGAGCAGCTAAAAGTGAATGTTGCAAGATCACGATGCTTTGGTCACAGGTACATTATTAGGCTCTTAATGAGGGCCTGTTTCTACTTCAAACGTTTCTAACAAGCTTGATTATTTTAACATGTTATCCTATGGCATGTTAGAAAAGCAGAACATCAGAGGAATTGGTGCAGATGGGTCAGATAGGAAAGCTGGTGGTTGTGGGTGACAAAGTCAAAGTAACATTTCAGTAGCCACCAAAGACCAAGCTATAGAAAGAGTATAGTAATCAGTGTGTGTATGTTAACTTCAAGTTACTAAGGCTCATTTTTCTAGTGCACTAGCTTCAAAGAAAAATTGGGATGTTTTTCATCAAGATTGACAGTAAAGTTTTCACATACTATTTAAGATTAAGAACAAGATCTGGTGTTTGGTATTCAAAGATGGAATACTTAAGTGATGTGAAAGCTGATAGAGTTGGGCTTGTGTTCAACATAACAATTAAGTGCCTTTTGTTTGCTAACTGTGGTAGTAGAACATAGAACTAGGGATGCAGGATAAAATAGAAGAGACCATTCTAAACAGTGGCAAAGGGTGTTAAGTGCTTGTGTTGGTAGGATTGTGCAAGGTAGAGTGACGGTTCAGAAGACCGGATATCCCTGGAGGAAGATAGTGGTAGTAGGAGATCACATTCAGACTGGTTTCAAGGCCACTGTGGTAGTGAAGCAGGTAAGAGCAAGGCCTGGCCCAGGACCCTGCTGGGGATAGAAAGAAGATGGGAATTTAATGAAGTGGGATTGCTGTACTTTGAACACGTTTTACTTGTGTAACAGAATGAAAATCTGTAGCATAACAGTTTGGGCAAGCTATAAGTCCTAATAATAAGACTGAAGAACTTTCCAGAAAAATTTTTTTAATTTAATTTTTTTTGACAGAGTGGACAGTGAGAGAGAGAGACAGAGAGAAAGGTCTTCCTTTGCTGTTGGTTCACCCTTCAATGGCCGCCGCGGCCAGCACGCTGCGGCTGACGCACCGCGCTGATCCAATGGCAGGAGCCAGGTGCTTCTCCTGGTCTCCCATGGGGTGCAGGGCCCAAGCACTTGGGCCATCCTCCACTGCACTCCCGGGCCACAGCAGAGAGCTGGCCTGGAAGAGGGGCAACCGGGACAGAATCCGGTGCTCCGACCGGGACTAGAACCCGGTGTGCCGGCGCCGCAAGGCGGAGGATTAGCCTAGTGAGCCACAGCGCCGGCCTCAGAAATTTTAATTAAAATGTAGACATATGTTACTGTTTGAGACCATTACTTACCATTGACAAGGCTGTCTTGTTTTTGAAAAGTTGACTTTGGTAAAGAAGAAAATTGTCAGTACTGACTGTGCTGGGGTAGGAACCTGGTGCCTGAGCTCTTTCCAACCAAGAACCCGAGAGCAGTGTCCCTTTAGTGAGCTAATGTCTTTTTTTTTTTTTTTTTAAGATTCATTTATTTACTTAAAAGAGAAGGACAGAGACAGAGAGATCTTCTGTCTACTGGTTCACTCCCAAAATGGCCACAATGGCCAGAGCCAGCCCAGGCTGAAGACAGGAGCTTTCTCCCGATCTCCCACATGGGTGGCAGGGGCCCAAGTGCATGGGCCATCTTGTTTTCCCAGGCAGGGAGCTGATTGGACCAGTGCCCATGTGGGATGCCAGCATCACAGGTGGCGGCTTTACCTGCTATGCCACAATGCCAGCCCCAACTGATGTCTTGAAGAGCCAGTTCTCAAGCTTTGGGTGTCACTCTGCTTTGATCCAGAGGTCAAGAAATGATGGCCTTTAGACACATTCCTCGCAGCTGGCTTTGGGTAACACTTTAGGTGGCCTCACCATTCCTGGGGCGTCATTCTGACACTAGCTGGTTTTTCTAACCCAGTTCTCCGCAGAGCACCTCACTGACTTTAACCGCGAAAATCAAGTAAGTTGTGTCCTTGAGGTATTTTTATTTGTGAAATTTTCAAAGGCAAATCAAAGCAATCGACAAGGAGCCAAAAAAGCATTCTGGAAGTGTTTTGGATATTGTGAAAATCTTAAGCCAGGAGCTAGGAATTTAGAGACTGCCTCATAGAGTATTTTCGAGGGCGTTTGGGTAACTGTAAAAAGCATCTACATTGCAGTGTGTAGATCTGGAAGCTTCTCTTGCAAACCAGGTTGTACTAGCAATTTCTCAGAAGCTGAGTGAAATAGCGTTTTATTAAAAAAAAATGGAAGGGTAAGACATCATTGGAACTGTCCCCCTCCCAATATTTCCCTTTCAAAAACTTGGTGAGGCATTCATCTGAACATGGAACTTTTTTTTTCTTTGTGGCAGATGACCCTAATTTTCAATGCAGTTCAAAAGTCTCTGGATAAGGAAAAATATCTATGTATGCTCTAGGAAGAATTACGAGGAAAGGACGGCATGTTGTGTCCAAGCATCATTAAACTAAAAGTAAGAAACCTCGGCCAGTCCAGCCCATGAAGAAAATTACCTCAAAGGACATTATATCATAGTTCATATTGTTTAGTTTTATATGCATAATAAAATATCTTGAAGAGCAGGCATGTGTTTTGAGTTTTGACATTCTTGTGGTATGAAGTGGATTTTCAGGCCTGGAATTCCAGCCTATGCCTACTCATCCATTAGATCAACGGTGTTTTAGTTGCTATGCCAAATGCACACCCAATGAGTCATTTCCAAGAAACATGGTAAGAAGGGGCCAGTGCTGTGGTATAGTGGGTAAAGCTGCCTCCTGCAGTGCCAGCGTTCCATATGGGCACCAGTTTGTGTCCTGGCTGCTCCACTTCCAATCCAGCTCTCTGCTATGGCCTGGGAAAGTATTGAAGATGGCCCAAGTGCTTGGGCCCCTGCATCTGCATGGAAGACCTGGAGGAAGCTCCTGGCACTTGGCTTCAGAGTGGTCCAGCTCCAGCTGGTACTGCCATTTGGGGGGTGAACCAGTGGGTGGAAGACCTCTCTCTGTCTCTCCCTCTCTCTGTAACTCCACCTCTCAAATAAATAAATAAATAAATCTTAAAAAAAATCGCTATTTAAAAAAATAAAAAACATGGCAGAAAAGGAAGGGGAAAGGAGGAAAGAGATACAGCTAGATGGGAATCTTCTTTGGGTTTTGATTTCTTCCTACCATTTATTATCACCCACTGTGTGCTAAGTGTTTCACATACGTGCTGACATTTGGTCCACATAAGAACGCGAAGTCAAACTTCATTTTTTTTTTCTATTTGACAGGTAGAGTTAGAGAGAGACAGAGAGAAAGGTCTTCCTTCCATTGGTTCACTCCCCTAATGGCCGCTACGGCCGGCGCTGTGCCGATCCGAAGCCAGGAGCCAGGTGCTTCCTCCTGGCCTCCCATGCGGGTGCAGGGCCCAAGGACCTGGGCCATCCTCCACTGTACTCCCGGGCCACAGCAGAGAGCTGGACTGAAAGAGGAGCAACCGGGACTAGAACCCTAGGGTGCCGGCGCCGCAGGCAGAAGATTAACCTAGTGAGCCACGGCGCAGGCTGAAACTTCATTTGGCACATACTTAGGTAAAGTAAGCGCCTGGGTGATACAGCTGCAGTGTCAGCATTCAACCTAAAGCATTCAGCTGACACACCAGTCCATTCAGAGCAAGTCCTCTGAATCTGAAGCAGAAGAGGAAGGAGTGAGTGAGGCACGTTTGGAAGTGTTCTAGGGAGTGCAGAAACTTCCAGAATGATGGCCTCTGTGCTGGAGGCTAGAACTGAGTCCCATGAACTGGAATGCCGTGTCGCCCTGAGGAATGCTATGTCACTCCATCCCCTGTACCTTCCGAATGGAATGTTCCAAGTTCTGAGTATCTGAGGGGACTTCAAGAAATTTATGGGAAGTGGAATTAAAAGGTAAGTTCAGGGGCATGCGTTTGGCAC